AGGTCTGCACAGTTCTCGCACATCGTTTAACCGCCGCCCTCCATGATAGAAGTGACATTAGTGATTTTAAATTTGGGTTTTCCAACATTATCAGCACAGTAGACTGAGTTCACATTTAGGGGCTAAGCTCCAGCAGAAATGGCCCCAGGGTAGGGGGTTCCAGGAGCACTCAGAGCACTCTGGGAGACTGACATACAATGGACATAGTCAAAGTAATAGCCAACACATGGCCTGGGATTAACTTGCACTCCAGGACAGTGGACACTGGCAGGCATGCTGTGAAGAACAAGAGAGCAAAGGAAGGAGATGCTGTCTCAGGAACAGTACTTATAAATGGGGTTTCTCAGCAGAGGTAGCTGGACTGGAAACCTGAGCTGGCTATAGCCACCCCAATAATCAGGGGTGGGAAACTAAGGCGCTAAAGCAAGAAAGGAGACCATAGCATTGTCCAGTGGCTCAAAGGGTCCTCGCAGGGAGCCTCTGAGAGACACGTAGTCTGGTCAGAGACACTGGGTGAGTTGTATGACACACCCTTACCCAGAACCTGTTGGCTTCCAGGTCGCTGGCCCTAAAGCCCCATGGATTCAGGCAGTAACGACTGATGAGCAGGAAATCACCAGAGGTACCTGCAGACTGTCCAAAGATGGTTCTGTGGGCGGGCCGAGTCGTCTGCCGAATAACTCACCCAAGTGTGCAGCCAATATCTCTGTGCCTTCAGACACCAAGCACAGGGGAGTTACCGCTACACGGGCCTTATCTTTCTAATTACACAAACACATGTGCTAACTGTGGGCACTCTGCCAACACGCAAATCCTGTAAAGGGCCACTCTGAAATACCTAAGTGATTGTCCATCTGGCAGAGCATCTTGGGAATATTTTCATCCTTCTCATCATCCTCCTGGAGGACCGGAGACATATTCCAAATCACAACCTTCCCAGAGTCCTGCCCTGGAAGAAAAGGGGAAATGTCACTCAAATGTGTAATGGGTGGAAATCTGATGTCAGTAAGAACTGTTGACTATCAGAAGTCCTTGGCTCAGCTTTCATCAATCAGAGTAGACCAGAACTAAAGAAGATGGAATGTGAGCAGCTAATTTAAGTTATAGAGAAGATGAGGAAAAGCAAGTCCTCAGTGGGAACAAAGAAAGGACAAGTCATCATGAAAAGAATCCTGGACAAGTGATGAGGAGGCACTTGACTTCTAGTCTGCCCTTGGACAAAGATCCTCAGACGGCCATCATCCATGTAAAATGAGGCTAGACAAGTCACTGTCCCCAGGACTCCTTCAATCTGTGTGTGGACACTGTCTGGTGTTCCATGGCTAGCCCTGTAGCTGACTAGGCACCTAGAGGCCCACGTCTGAAATGTGTCCTGACCATAGGAACACAGGGCTCATCATCTTCTGGGAGGGCACCTGAGGAGGGGACTTTGGATGGCTAGGCCCAAATGCAGAAAACGTATCTATGTTTTACTCATGATTTTGTGAGGTGTGCTTCCCATGATTGATACCTCACAAAACTCTAGTCCCTCACTCAACTCTCTCAACAGTATATGCCTGGAAACAAATCCCCCAAAACGCACTGCAGTTGAGTCAATTCCGACTGACCGTGACCCCACAGGACAAGGTAGAACCATTCCCTAGGGTTTCCTAGTCCTTATGAAAGCAGACTGCCTCATCTTTCTCCTGCTAAGTGGCTGGTGGGTTTGAACCACCCACCTTGTGGTTAGCAGCACTAGGGCTCCTTCTGCCTGACAACAGGCATGCCAGAATGCCTACGAAGCATGCTTGGAATGACCTCTGGGCCAATATGTAAGGGTTAAGAGTGCTTGGAAACACCTCTTCCTGACTCACTACCTAAGGAAGGTAGTGAAGTGAGCCCCACTCTCTCCTCCCCCAGTTAGTCCAGATGCTCCGACAGTGAGTCTGTGAGCACCTCTGGGGTACAGCCCACAGAAGACAGGAAGGAGACAGTGCCCTCCCTGATCAGACTGCTCCCCAGCATTTCCCGCGGGGGTACACAGGAGTCTGCACACCCTGCCTCCCTGCAGTACCTGGCCTCAGGATCCGAACTCACTTCCTAGGCACTCCCTAGGCACTGTTCAGGCCAGAGGGAGACCCTGTTTTGGTGTGGAGATGATGTGGGGCTGGACTGTGCTACTCTGTGCCCCCATCTATCCATCTTGGTGTCCTGACCCAATAAATGACTTTCTCTTTCCAAACAGGATACGTTCTCACCATATTGCAGCAGATGCTGGATGAAGCACGCTGACAATACATCACATGGTGTGGACATTTTTACTTGCCTGCAGGGCACTTTCTTTTCAACTGAGCTGAATTCTGTGGAGTCCAGGAAATTAATGACTATGTGACTAATAATTATATCACAAACTAGTAAGTATTTCTATTTACAGCTAAACAAGTTAGCCAGGCAGTAGGGATGTGATGCATTCCTCAATTATACCAGGAACATACCTTGGCCTCCAGTTGCAAACTTGGTCCCGTCAGGGTGAATATCAACTGAGAAAATTGGCTTGCCTGGAAACAAAGGGAGAAAAGATCAAAATTGTTTTCATTCACTGAAGATCAGCAATTGACTCAAGAATATTAACATACTGGTTACCCTAGTAACATCAGTCCCTTTACCTAAGAAAATAAAACAAGAATTAAAAATCAGTTGCTGTCAAATCTGCCCCATGTATGTCAGAAAAAAACCAGCTCTCCAGAGGCTGATTTTTCAGAAGCAGACCAAACCTTTCTTATGACTTATCTCTGGGCAGACTTGTTGGTTTGCAGTTGAGTGCATTAACCATTTGACCCACCCAGGACATCAGCAACTGGTTTGAATTTGGGTTTAAGGATAAAGTGGTCCATCAGTTTCAGTTAAAGTATAAACTACTGAGAAGAGTCGTTAAGCAACATTAAAGAATTAAAAGCCCAAAAGTGGAACGAAGCATTCCAATGCTAAAATGAGATATCATCTCACACCAGCCTTAATTTGTTGTTAATTTGTCCGACTTAATTTGTCCGACTCATAGTGACCCTGCACAGGGTTCTCGAGGCTGTAAATCTTTACGGGAGCAGAACGCCTCATCTTTCTCCTGCGGAACTGCTGGTAGTTTCAAACTGCTGACAAAGTTCAAATAAACAAAACCACAAATGTTGACGAGGGTGTGGAGAGATTGGGATCCTCCTACATCGTATGTGGGACTCTAAAATGGTTCAACCACTGTGGAAAACAGTATGGCACTTCCACAAAAAGATGGAAATAGAAATATCACATGACCCAGCAATTCTATTTGGTGTATATCCACAAGATATGAGAGTCAAGAAACAAATAGATATACGCACACTGATGTTCATCTCAGCATTATCCACAATAGCAAAAAGATGGAGACAACCTAAATGCCCATCAGTGGAAGAATGGATAAACATTGGTACATACACACAAGGAATATTATGCAGCTTTGAAGAATAATGATGAATCTACGCATTAGATTTCCATCTAAAGGTTGGCAGTTCAAACCCACTAGCCACTCCTTGGAAACCTTATACAGGGTCATTATGAGTCAGAACTAACTTGATGCACTTGGCAACAACTAATGGTTCATGATCATGAACATTTCCTGTTCAATGGCTGCCTGAATGTTTTCCACGGTGAAGTATCTGTTCATGTCCTGTGCCCATTTTTAAACTGGGTTGTCTTCTTGCAGAAGTACTATACTTTTCTATAAGTTTTAGAGATAAGTCCCTTGTCTGATATGTCATTGCAAAATTTGTTTCCCTTTTATTCTTTGGACAAAATCTTTTGATACACTTAAATGTCTAATTTTTAGGCAGTCTCAGTCATCTATTTTGTCTTCTACTGTTTGTGTTTTTTTCATATTGAAGGATCCTGTTTTTTCATCCACTCTACTACCCTCTGTCTCTAGACTGGTGCATCTAATCCATTGAAATTCGGTATAATTACTGATAAGTATGAACTAACTGCAGTTATTTTGCTGCCTGTTTTTTTTGTGTGGTGCTATTGGTTTTTTTGTTTCACATATTTTTTTTCTGTGCTGAGTTTATTTTGTTTGTGCTTTTTCTTGTTAATTCCTCATTGTTTTATTGTTTACAAAATCTTCAGGGATTTCCCTTTTCTTGATTTGATATGAAAAAATATTGTTTCTTTGAGGTTACCCCGTAATTCATTAATTTTGTCTCCAGTTTGAAATAGCCTGTTCTATTTTGAAATTTATTTGACTTCTTCACCATTTGGAAGTTCTGAAACTACTTTTCCCTCTTTTTGCTTTGCAGTTGTCTTCATTATAAACTGATATCTCTGGTTCCCTGTTTTCAGTCTTGAAGGTTTCTTTGACTTTGGATATTTCTATACCTGGATTGAATTCTGGGTGGTGGTGTTATTTATTCTAATCTCTGGCTGTTGTCTCCTGTTGTTGGTTCTCAGTCCAAAGGGCTTCCTTTAGTATTTTTTTATAAAGTTGGCCTGGTTTTTTACAAATTCCATTAATTTCTATTTATCTGGAAATATTCTAATTGGTGTGGCATTGTGGGTTAATACGCTGAACTGCAAAGTCAGTTTAAACACAAGGTCAGTGGTTCAATCTCACCAGATGCTCCTTGGAAACCCTATGCAGGGTCACCATGGGTCAAAACCAACTCTATGGCACTTAACAACAACAACAACTACTTGAAGGACAGTTTTGTTGGGTACATAATTCTTAGTTGGCAACATTTTTCTTTCAGAGTTTTGTGTATTTCACCTCATCGACTTCTTGCCTGCATGATTTCTGCTGATAAATCAGAACTTAATCTTACTGGTTTTACTTTACAGGGAACATTTCACTTTTCCTGAGCTGCTTTCATGATTCTTTTCCTTGTCTTTGATTTTGAAGAGTTTGATTACGATATGTCTTGGTGATTGTCTTTTGTGGTCTATCCTGTTTGGGGTTTGTTCAGCTTCTTGAATGCTGTTAGGAAAATTTTCTTCCAACTGCTCTTTGGTTATCTTTTCTGTGCTTGTCTTTGCCTCCCCGTTATGGAATTCTAATCACCGGTAAGTTATTCCTTCTCATGTTATCACACATGAATCTTAGGCTTTCTTCAGATTTTTTTCATTTCGTTTTCTAACTGTCCTTCTAGCTTACTAGTATTAAGAGATTTATCTTCAAGCTAATTCAGGCTTTCATTGATTCAAATCTATTCCTTGTCCTTTCAAGGTATTGTTCATTTCTAAAATCTTAGTATTAATCTTTTAGATTTCTATTTGCAGGTTTTGATCACCTCCAATCCTTTATCTGTTTTGTTTCATTGCTCCTGTAGTGCTTTCCTGAATTCTTGTTTTCCTCAACCTTTCTGTCAATCATTTGGAGATACCTAAATATCATTCTGAAAGCAGAGAATATCAGAAAGATGTTTACCTGTGCTTTATTGACTATGCAAAGGCTTTCAATTGTATGGATCATGACAAGCTATGGACAGCATTGTGAAGCATGAGTATTCCAGACACTTAATTGTGCTCATGAGGAATCTGTACCTGGATCAAGAGGCAGTTGTTCAAACAGAGCATGGAAACACAGAATGGTTTAAAAGTAAGAAAGGTATGCGACAAGGTTGTATTATTTCACCATATTTATTCAACTTGTATGCTGAGCACATAATCCGAGAAGCTGAGTTCTATGAAGAAAAACTTGGCATCGGGATTGGAGGAAGACTCATTAAAAACCTGCGATATGTAGAAGATGCAACCTTGCTTGCTGAAAGTGAAGAGGACTTAAAACATTTACTGATGAAGATCAAAGAGCACAGCTTTCAGTATGGATTGCATCTCAAAGTAAAGAAAACAAAAATACTCACCACTGGACCAAGAAAAAACATTTTATCAATGGAGAAAAGATCGAAGTTGTCAAGGACTTCATTCTTCTTGGATCAACTATCAACACTCATGGAAGCAGAAGTCAAGAAATCAAACGATGTATTGCATTAGGCAAATCTGCTGCACAAGACCTTCTTAAAGCTTGAGGACTAAGGTTGCGCCTGACCCAAGCCATGGTATTTTCAATAACCTCATATGCATGCGAAAGCTGGACAGTGAATTAGGAAGACCGTAGAAGAACTGATGCTTTTGAGTTATGGTGTTGGAGGAGAATATTGAAAGTGCCATGGGCTGCCAAAAGAACCAACAGATTTGTGTTGGAAGAAGTGCAGCCAGAGTGCTCCTTGGAGGCCAGGATGGCCAAACTTCATTTCTCATACTTTGGACATATTGTCAGGAGAGACTAATCGCTGGAGAAGGATATCATGTTTGGTCAAGTGGAGGGTCAGAGAAAAAGAGGAAGACCCCCAGCGAGATGGATTGGCAAAGTAGCAGCATCAATATGCTTGAGTGTGGCAACAATTGTGAGGTTGGCCCAGGATCGGGCAAGTATTTTGTTCTGTTGTACATAGGGTCGCTATGAGCCTGTACCCACTCGATGGCACCTAATAAGAAATATCATTTTCTTATTTTTCAATTAACAATATCAATCAAATTTTTTCAGTTAGTTCTAATTATGCAATTAATTCTTATAACCAACTACCTACCAAATATCTTACCTGCTCATCTCCACAACAGATCTCCTGATATTCTCATCAAAACTTGCTTTACCTACAGTCAGCCACATCACAGTGAAAGTCAGTCCTGAGAGGAGATGCCAACAAGGCCCTGCACAACAGTCCTCTCCTGACTTACCTGACTTCCCTTCCTAACCTTAGTCAGCCTCTGGCCCAGCACAATGGCTTCTTCTCTTGCTCCCAGGATGCAACAAGCATGCTGCTTCCCAGAGGGTCCTGCATGGGCTCTTCCCTCTGTCTGTAAGCCTGTGCTCCCTGACATCAGGATCACTTCCTCCCTGGCCTCCCCCAGCATCATCCCTTTGTTGTTTTTTCAGCATCATTCCTTTGTTGAGATCCTCAAGTACCCTGATCCTGTTCCATTCCTTTCCTTTTAAAGCTTTTATTGTGAACTGGGTGAAGGCTTAAAGAGCGAATCATCAGTTTTATACTCAACAATTCCCATATATTGTTTCATCTCATTGATTGCCATTTTCTCAGTTAACATCATTTATCCCACTTCCTCCCTGTATTTAGTTTCCATTCCTCCTCCTTTGCTAGTAGAACTGAACTCTGTTCGCAGGGAAATGCTTCTATTTCTTTTCTTAGCAACTTCTTACAAACTATACAATTTACCGTATTTTTACATCTATCTAACCTGTCTGGATAAAGGAGCTCTGGTAGCGTAGTGGTTAAGAATCAGGCTGCGAACCTCAAGGTCAGCAGTTCGAAACTACCAGCTGTTCTGCGGGAGAAAGATGAAGCTTTCTTTCTGCTCCTGTAAAGATTTACAGCCTCGGAAACCCTGTACAGGGTCCCTATGAGTCGGAACGGACTCCATGGCACATAACAACAAATCCTGGCTGGATAAAGCCTTTAGTACGGGTTGTAGCTCAATGTAAAGAAAACAAAAATCCATAAACTTCATCAACAAATAACATCAT